GTGATCATTGTTTACGCGGTGCGGGATTCACAGGCAGTCGAAAGTGTGTGCATTCTTTGACGAACGTTCAGCAATCGCCAAGGGAAATCACTTGTCGCGCTCTGTCTTGAGGCTCTCTTTTGAGCCCCGCCAACAGCCGCACAAGCAGACAGCATTACCGGCAAAGAAATGAGAGAATAGAATGGTCATTTCTGGCTCATTAGCCGTCATTAGCCCTTATTAGTCAGTCATAGGCAAGCCCTAGTGGGACACCACCCGAGGTTCAAACCCACGACTTCTTGCTCATAATTCTAACGCTCTCACAAACAGTAAAAATTGGCATTTCTGCCCATGCCAAATATTCTGGGATTATATCAAACGATGATTGTTCTTACAAGCCCACTTAAGTAACCTCTCCTACTCAAAAACTTATTTCCGAATTGTTACTAACATTTCACGAGGTAAATCAATTTACTCGGCTCTATCCACTTCCAAGTATAGCATCTCGAAAGGCCCCTATCTACGCATCCAAACAACTTATTATTGTCTTCAGTACAAATACTGACAAGTATTTAACAAAATTTTGACAATTTTAATATTCGGCTACTACGTGTTGGACAGTTTCGTGTTGCACCTTTAGCATCTAAAAAAATGGATTTGTAACATTGCACAACCAATAAAAAAATTACGTAATATATTAAGTAGTGGTCATACAGCAACGTACTGGGATCGATGGCTTCATTCTTGATTTGCTCAGCTTGGAGAACAGCGATTGGAACGAACAGTGCAAAGGCGATAATTACGTGAATAAGTCCAGCAAAAGGTCGTAGTTGTCGTCTAAGGAATGCACAACAGCCCTCCTCAGTATCACTGATAATAAAAGACTCAAAGTCTAACTCAGTAAGCGAGACAGATGGAAGTTGTGAACGCAGTCTCTCTGCACTGCTGGAGGTCGCGCCGTTGCTGCTCGGCTCAATGTCGTTCGGCGAGAAACGCAGGACCGGCGACTGAGCTAGAAGCGTATGAAGGTGCACACAGTCCTTCCCCAGTGTAATGCAGTCATTAGCAGCATGGCCCACTCGAGCAAAGGCTGCGTAGATGAGAAGCGGGAACAGACCAACGACAAGTACCAGACAGACAATTTGAAAATTCAACGGGAATTCGTAATTCCACCCTTCACCAAAGCGTGGATTATATGCCTGAGCTTTGAATTCAACGTAGCGGCGTATACCCAACCAGACAAGGCAGCAGGTAGAGCTAAATAAGAAAAACGCGTACCACAATTTCCACAGCTGGTCAAAGCTACCGAAGCAGAATGTTTTTATCTGAAGTCGCCATTTGGCTTCCTCGCTGAAGGGCGGAGTAGTGATGGGGAAATCCCAAACGTGTTTTTTTGAATGATAGAATGCCGGGTGCGGTTCTGATGCCATCGTTTTCTCACATTTGCGCCTAATTTGTACGTTCTGCGTATGGGGTGTTGGGTTGCCTGCGGCTGTAACCCGGCTGAAATTAGTATACCTCCATGTTGTTCAGCGTTCTGTGATTGTGATGGCCTCTCTGAAGGTAACGATAGCCAATAGAAAAGCACAACAGCTGATCAAGCGTTTTAAAAATCTGATTGGCTACGTACGACAAGCGCTAGTTCGAGCTTGTGGACATACTAGCTGCACGCGTGCTTAGGTAGACGCGTGAAAACGGACGACGGTTTGCTCAAATGCCATTTAAGAACCAACCATGCAGTGGTGCAATTACTAGTGGTCCACTCCTCCCCAGAGCGTCTGACAGCGGTTGCCGCCTTGTCAGGTTTCCTTGACGATGCCTAATAACTCGTGCCGAGGTATGAGGAAAGTTGTACTTTCGGATTCAGACTTGCGTAGCCACAAAAGTTAACCTTTTATGCTTCACAAGCTTCGCCTGTACTTGCGTCTATAGTTAGTATCGTCTTTGTCTAGACTTAAAGTACCGGAAATAAATAATGGGATTATTGCATACTCCTATTTGTGCATGGCGTTCGCGAGTTTTCGCCTCAACTGACAGAGTCCATAAAATATTTTTTAGCTCACGTGACATGCATTTCCAGACGCAGCAAAGGAAAGTGTCCTAGGCTGGCTGATGAAATTGCCGTATTACCCTTGGTCTTAGGCAACAACCAGATTAAAATAATACCTCGTTTCGAAGTTTTGAGAGATGCTCCTGCTAGGATACACGAGACATAGGGGGTTCTTTTCGCAGCTCTAAACTTAACAGGGGGGGTGGGTTGGTGAATAAATTTCCTTCGTTGCCTCTAAGCTCCTCGGTGAAGTTTTTCGCTTATCGATACATTTTATAGCTTTTTTTCTAGATTTCCTCTTCTTATAAATGACACAGCCATTTAGCAGTAACAACTTTCGCCAGTCAGACAGCAACGTTAAAATCTTTGAATAACGAACAATACCATGAATATTAGGGGAAGAAGCTAGGCACATGGTGCCTATGAATTTCGACTGTCGTAAGTAGAAATTCATGCATATAATCCATTCTTTTGGCTTTGCTTAAGGCTGTCGTGATTCCGCACAAAAGGCTTGGTGGCATAATACTGTGCTTATCTTAGCAAGGGATATTGGAGGCAGATTGCTCACCATGTTTGGTCTTTCAAACGGAAGTTGGGCTTTTGGTAGTAGCAGAGGATATCGCTGGGGTGTTTAGCTAAGAGGCAGTAGATTATTACTGGTGAATCAATACTTTTAGATCCACTAGGTAAAGCAGGGTCTGCATTCGAAATGCTAGCCCCGACACTGTAAGGGTCCTTTGTCAATGTTACCTCCCAAAACTAGAATAACCGTAACTTGGCAACTTCAGCCACTTCCCCTCCCCCCTTCCATTTGAACCGACCACACAAAGTTAGGAATTTTGCTTGTCGAGTGTTTTCCAATATATAACTTGAACGATAGGACTGTAGCATTGTAGATTAATTATCGGGGTCATTTAGCAGTATTTTTACTCCACCAGGAGGAAGGTTATGCAAGGCGAAAGACTGGGAAGCCGTATGTTATTGTCTAAGCGATGCAGTCAAGATATCGGAAATAAGACGGGCCTGTAGGCTTGTTGTCTTCTCAGGATCCGTCAGAGCACATAAGGCAGTCTCGAAACAAGGATAAAACACTAGGCCAGTCTGTTGTTGGCAGCTGAGGCGTAGGACATGCTTCAGAAAACCTAGTGGTCACTTGAAATTAACGGCATTTAAATATGTTTAGCTGTTGGTAGGCATTCCCGATGAGTCATCAAAGATGGTAGACCAACCAAAAATGAATGTTTTGACACTGGACTTGGTGTTGGGACTGGATTGTGTCAGGTATACGGATAAAATGGTTGATGTAGGTCAGGTGAAAACATCTATGAGTGCTTGCGAAAGGTGCTGGAAAGATTCTTCTTCTTACTATCGATGTTGTAAGATAGGAAGCCCCAATAAAGTAGTAAGGCTTGATACCCCTGTTTTATTCGTATTGTTGCATATAAAAGGTTTTAAAAAAAACTCTTAGTTAGTGGCATATCGAACGAGGAACATTAGCCAAATGCATATTTTTCAAGCCAGCTGATGATGGGTTCCAGAGAGGATCCGAAACATCAAGCCAATAAAATTCTTGTCCCAGCGATCGCTTCTTCCTCTCCTTCTGCCCTGCTTCGTCGAACTTGCCTGTTGGGGTATTTCTTGAAAATGTCGAAGACTGGTCGCTCAGGCTCAAGTGTATTATGATGTGCTTCAGCTAGCAACGCTTTCATTGAAAAGGGGGGTGGATAGACAGGTAGAGCGTGGAAAATATTTCATAACCACAACAACCATAAACTGTTCATTGCTACTATTAGGTAGCAAACTTCGCCTGGACTAGGTTATTAGATGTAGCCATGGCGTCCTTTTTGTGGTAAAACGGACACGGTGGACGTGGGAGCATATTAGTTGGCGCCTGTTTAATGCCGATAAAACTGGAGATAATTTAAAGCATTTATTGTGAATATGAAGTTAAAACGGGCGTGTACAGCATGAATTAACGGTTCTAACAAATTTCTTGACGGCTTATCAACTGCAATCCATCTTTCCATAACATTGATGACGAATGGAAGTGCACAGCAATTTGGATTTATATAGAACGTCAATGCATGGCAGAAAGGATCCTGATTCATTGCAAAGAATGATCAGTTGATAAACGTTACTTAAAACATTATAAAGGAAAGAAAAAGGAGGAAGAGGCAGATAACTCAAATCACAGTCGTCAGCAAGTTTAAGCGTGAGCTTACTATGACAATTAGAGATTGACCACATGGCTCATCTATTCGCATAGGTCAGGTTTCACCCCTCGTATATAGAGTGCTTCCAAGTGGTACAGGGTCCGAGTTGTTCGTGCCCGAACACATACCCAGAGAGCTGTTTTGAAGTCAACCCAGTGTCCACTATCTAGCAGGTTTTTCGTAATCGAGAACAGTGATATAATATTTTCTTATTCGAAAAGCAAGTTAGGCAAATACTGGCAGCAAGTCCACAGTGCCAAAAAGTGGCTGCAACTGGCCTTCTTACAGATTCTGGGCGTAAAGACCTAGATGGCAGAATAGTGTTGAAGGTGAAATTTTTTTATTTGAAACGAGGAAGAAGTTGGAATCAGGTAGTAAAAATCCTGGAAATTGTGCTTTTGCGAAAAATTTGGACTTTCACCTTCAAAATAAAACGTATTTATCTCCCTATAATATCTACAAGTTTTATAACTGTGCTACGATTCTGTAAAATACTGGGTTAAACCCAAACATCCAGTCTCCATGGGAACATTCTTAGACTTTTACTACTGCGTGCTGTCTGTTTTAAACCTTATTTGTCATTTTCTTTTGAAGTTTTCCAAAATAAGCGCTGAAAACGATCAATTTCACTATTGTTTATACCTTTTAAATCTATCCGTCAGTATAGTCTACAAGCCGCCAACCCATTTACCATATTCCAAAAATGGATCTTAGTTAAATAACCCAGCAAAAGACTTTATATATCTTCTGTGAAAGTAAACAGCTGTGAGGAACTGGGCTAATTTATTAACTTCCTATTATTTCCTGTGGGCTTGTGGATTTGACATCTGGATAAATATGCAGTTCAGATACTAACTTAATCAGACGGTAACGGACACCTTTGAAGAAAAAGGTGTTTCGGTTAACTCAGAATTTCATAGAAGGTTTAATCTTAGAAACTAGATCTAGAAGGCCGGAGGAATTAGCTTAATATGTAAGCACTACTGTTTTGAACAACTTCAAAAACCGGCGGTTTCGATGTCATACAATCATCGGCGATATCCTCATCGATCACTATTTCACTCTCGCAAAAATTCGGAACATCGCGGGCCGCCGGGCATAGGGCCATGTCCAGCATGAAGCTCAAGACATATGAACGTTATTTTAACTTGCTGGGACAGCAAGGTCTACGGAAGTTGAGTCGCCGATGAGGTCCCACTTCGGGTCAAAAGAGCAGAAGGCTGAAACATCAGAGAAAACGATCATTTACTCTAGGATCAATAGGGGCGCTGGAAAGTGGAGTCCCAAATTAAGGAGGTCGCGGTTGCAGTGTTCGCTGAATGTATCAGATGGCGAACCCATCATTTGTTTTCATATCAGCAAAGTTCCGAGGCCACGTTCAACAGTCATGGAACGGAAAATCATTGCCCAACGCCTTATACATTGCACTTTACGCGACACGTTTTGTCTATTTTATGCCCCTGCACGGCACAGCTGTGTACGGATCACCTCACCAATGTGTCCCTCGGGGTTTCCAATGTGCTTTATGGTAGATCTTGCGGTTTCGAAATTTCGGCTTATTTAATCTCACTAGAAATTAGTGCTCTAGCTAGGAGTAAATAATCTGGGGTGCACTTTTATGGGCTAGCTCTGAACGTTTATTGTGAATATCCAAGCTGAAACCAAGCAGCTACAGTGGAATTCCCATGTAGTATTCACAGGCCTGCCTCCTTTTCTTCAGCCGAGCCCCATGATGAGAAAATAGACACTTCCATAGTCGACGGTACACGCTGCAAACAGATTTGCCCTTTGGGATTTTCTCCTTGGGACCTTGAAAGCCCTGTAACCGAGAAATCAGGATGGACAAAACAGCCAACCAGGTCAGTGCCTGGGCGGGCTCCTACACCTCTTCCTGTCTATGATGGGAGGAATACGTTTTGATGTTCTGTGAGACCGAAAATGATTACTTAAGTCTCCACAGTGCTCATTCTCAGACTGAATTTGCGACAACTATTCGGTCAGAGAAAGATCGGGCTTTATCGCGGGAGCTCCTGAGGTCGTAGTATTGTCAGAATCCGAGACAACGTATTTCCTTCACTCGCATCCTCGTAGAAGGTGAGTGCTTTAAATAGTAGAATATGCATTGCATACTCCTATAGATCTGGGAGGAGATAACACAGTCTTTTCG